TGGTTAAATGTCCCTAAGTTCCATCCCCAATACCAAAAAAAAAAAAAAAAAAGAAAGAAAAGAAAAATATTAGGGTTGTCCTCAGGAGTCTGGTTTGAATTGCAGTGGTGTGTGTGTAGTGCTGGAGATCAAACCCTTGCACTTTCTTGGGAAACACTACACCACAGAGCTATAGTGATTTTTGTCTTTATTCTACATTCTTACCCTTTAGGAAATGGTTGTGAAATGAGATGTTTTTCTTTTTAATAAGGGTCCCCTAATAGGAATGGTATTCTCAACGAGTTTGGATTCTCAAAATTTTTATACTGATAACATTGTTTTCAGGCTACATGTTGGGTCATTCCAGGCTGCTAGTTTCTAAGATGTGGCAGGCATGTGCCTTTATCTAACAAATATGTATACTTGATCGAAGGTTTTTTTGTTTTGTGTTTTTTGTGTTTAGTTTTTCCAGGGGTGGGGGCAGGATTGGGGCTGAAACTCAGGGTCTCGCACCCGCTAGGCAAGTGCTCTACCACTGAGTACATCTCCAGCCCTTTTTTAAATTTTGAGACAGAATCTTACTAACTTGCCCAAACTGGCCTCAAACTTGTGATTCACCTGCCTCAGCCTCAGTTACAGGAGATCACCACCATGGCTGGATCCTAGAGGAGTCTTTTAAAGTGAGAAAAATATATTCAATTCAGAAATGCTTTTCCCAATAGTAGCTCCATTACAAATTCCAAAATGTGTTTAATTCTGGGAATTAAGATAATCATGTATACCAACCTATACAAAAGACTAAGAAAATCTGAAGTGCAGGAATGCATTTTCCAGGTACCTTCTACTTCTCTATATTATCAGAAGAAGAAAATTTTGCTTATAATTATGGTTGGGATGATACCACATTTTAGCTGATGATCAAACCAAATTGCATTGGCTCATAATATAAAGTTAGTAAACTGTGCAGGCACAGTTAACTAAATTTTTGTTTTGTTTTGTTTTAAGTAAATATATGAAATGACTCTGGGTGGTTTTCTAACACTAGACACAGACCTACCTGGCAGAGTTTAGTGGACAATGTTTTGTGAAATATTGATCATTGATAAAAGAAGTCTAGCAGTTTTTAATCTGTTAGCAGAACAATCCATAAAAAATAGACGTATTTTAGGAATGTTCTTTGGGAATGAGCGAATTAGTCCAATAACCCTTTTTCTTGCAGAGCAACTTTTTATTTGAATATATAATTAGTGATTTTCTTCCTTAGGAATGCCCAGAAGGAGGATCGTGTTCCAGTGCTTGAGGAATATAGGGAATACAAGAAAATCAAAGCAAAACTTAGGCTTCTTGAAGTTCTTATCAGCAAACAGGATTCTTCAAAATCCATATAAACTATGCTCCTTGAAAATTCACATCATAAAGTCACTTGTATTCCTTGAAGCTGTCATCATGTGTACTTGGCTGGTACTTGAGTTCATTTTGTCAGGCACTCAGAGAATCTCATTTTGTACTTGATTGTGATGCCACTAAACAAATAATGCAAGGGTAAGTAGGCCCTCTCTAGGGAGTATGATATTCCATACTAACCACAGACTGTCCTCTCCACCTTTTGCAAACACGCAGCTTCTTTCATTGTTTTGTACTACAGATACATCCTGTTAGCAAAAGACTAGAATTTTATCCTTTCAACTTCAAGAACTTTGGAAATACAGAATGTTTTGTTATTACTAATTTTTTTTTCATTACTGAAGAAAATTGAGAGGAAAATCTTCACACTGAATTCTTCGGTTGCCTTTTTCTCACAGAATGACTGAAAATTTGAAAGAAAAGCCTATACAAGTGCACATATGCAACTGTGTTGTTCTCCTAGAAAACCAAAATCAAACTGAAATTTTAAGTCCTACAGTGGAACACGTTTCTGTTTAATTCCCAAAGTGACACCTCACAGGTAGTATGTTAGAAAATTTTATAATTCAGTGGTCACACAGCTCTTGGATGAAGATAACAGTGGGTAGACCAAAAAGTGACCTTGCTTAGAGAACACATACCACACATCACATGCTGCCTATGGGACTTAAGTTACTGTTGGTTCCTAAATTAGTGTTTATCAGCTGGTGATGATGTGATTTGTTTGAATGGGATTCTGTACTCTTACCCTCCCCACCCACCTCCAGATAATGTGAGAAAGTAGCCATGTCAGTATGTAGGAACTCTGATGGTGCTCAGATTTGTATGTTTAATCAAATGGGCCTAAATTGGCAAAATAATCATTATGCCTAAGTAAATCTGTTCTTAACAAGGGCTATACCACTGCATTTACCTTCAAGGGGCTACATTTTTTTTTCTTTTTTTTTTTTTTAAATCAGCAAAATCCATAGGAAAAACATTCTCTAAAAATAGAAACCACCTTTTCCTCAATTGTTTAAATGAGGAAAAAATGCTGTTTAAAGCAGCCGTTTACAAGATATGTGGTGGTATGCCCCTTGTCATATGCTCTTAGCATGTCTTATTTCTCTTGCTTTGCATGGCTAATCATTTTCATGGAATGGTGATATCATTTTTGTTAAAAAATATACAATAGCAGATTTGTGTCAGACTAATCTAAGTGTTAATTTTTTTTCCTGGTGCTTATTTGGATTGATGAGTATCTCATTTTGTGCCCATGTTTTGCATGCCTTGACTCATGCATGGTTTTCTTAACTAGCTTATATTAAAAATTTGTTTTATACAAAATTGGAATTTTACAACATCCTTTAATAAGGTGAGGGAAGCATGAACCTCAAACTTTTAGCACTATCACATAGTAAGCACATGAAGTAGCTTGAAAATAGTGTTTCTAGTATTTCACATTTCACTTGTGTGTGCAATGCCTTTTTTGGGAGGGAGGAAAAATCCAGTGGTAGTAAACATGTAGTTGAGGAATAAAGCACTAAATCCAGCCCTTTTTGTGTGTTTCCTTTTGATGAAACTAGATTATTCATAATGTATTCCTGGTAAAATTGAAATGCCAAAAGATGTATCACTTTTATTTGAATCCATTATGCAGTGTACATTTCAGTTAATTTCTTTAGGTTCCAGACAGGGGTCTAACATCTAATTTATGTGCACTGTATATTGTTTTTTTATGAATGTTTTATTTTATATACCACATGCAAAAATGTCCATATGCACTATTTAAATGTTTTAAATAATATATTCCTTCTTTATAATGCTAAATCTATGTGAGTACCATATTATTTTTATAAGTCGGTGCCCTGACTGGTTTCATTTTAGAATTAACAGCTGCTTCATGATGTTGGTTATTGAGTAGAAATAGGTAAAAGTGGCATGGCAGCACTTACTCTGTGTGATAGTATTGTGTGTCATGGTTGAGCAGCAGTAGGTGATACAATTAGGCAATTTGTGATAGTTTTACTTTGGTACAAATAAACACTGTATATCTATATACAAATATTATATAGATATATATGTCTATCAGTATAATTGCATTACTGTGTCTGACGCTTCATTGTATAAACTTTTGTAATAAAAGAACTTTAATGTTCTAAGTCATTGTAAATGTGTTTTTCCAGTAGGTGGTAAAAAAGAAAAAAGCTGAGATCTTAAATGTTTCCTTAATGTTCTTAGTCTTGTTAGAATTACCTTACCCAGGGACCACATCAGGGAACACTAATTATGGGGAGTGTAAGGCAGGGAAAGGCCACTGATTGCTTTCCTTGGGAAATCTATGGAGAAGCTGCAGAATAGTGTATTGCAATGAATTATCCTAATAAGAAAACTCAATGCATAGTGAGTCTCTTTAAGTTACATCCACATCTTGAACTTTGAAATCCTCCTGCCTCAGTCTCCAGAGTAGGACATACCTATCCAGCTATTTAGGAGTCTGGACAGGAGGATTGCAGTTTTGAGGCCATCCTCAGCAATTTAGCAAGACCCTGTCTCAAAACAAAATACAAAAATGTCTGGGGATGTGGCTCAGCACCCCTGGGTTCATTCCCCATTACTGCAAAATAAATAAAATTCCTTTATTCTCTGGGCATGATGGCATATGCCTGTAGTACTAGCTAGCTACTTTGAAATAAATAAAATTCCTTTATTCTCTGGGCATGATGGGATGTGCCTGTAGTACTAGCTACTTTGAGCCTAGGAGTTGGAGGCTAGCCTAGGCAACATAGAGCAACCCTACCTCAAAAACAAACAAGGAAAAAAAAATTAAAATCCCTTTATTCGGTTGAAGTTTTAAAATTCAAGGTCTTTTGAGCACTGATGTGTAAGATGGGTGCTATGGCTAAATGATATAAGAGTTTCCCTCTATTTCATGTAATACCAGTCATACACAGTTTTCCAGCCATAGAAACATGGCACTTGCAGCATCGTTTACATTTCCCAAGCATGACTTCTTATGACCCTGGTATAGGTGAATTTCCAGTTTGAAGATAGATACCAGTGAAATTTCTGTTCTTGTCTGGGAAGTTTGTTCTTCTGTACTTAGGCTTATTCCTGGATACTTTAAATTCTGAAGAATGGAGAATTTTTTTCACTTAGGAGTAATATAATGGTCTAAACCTTTATTAATATATCTGTGGCCCAACAAAGTCAGAACATAGTGATATGCTTGAAAGGGAAAAACTGTCTTTTTCCCTGTACTTATATTGAACTGTTAAAAGAGACCTGACCCATGAACTATAAGCATTATTTTACACTTTCTCTTCACATTTGTAGAATTGAGTAATAAACCTCATAAAAATTTTATGCATGAGCCAGGCATGTTGTAATATATGGATTGTGTAGTGGGTCATATTTGGTAGCACTTAATTCCTAGAAATCATTTATTATAAACAACCCTGAGGATAATTCAGTGATTTGAAAATTTAGTGCTTTCAGTGTGTCTGAAATTAGGGCAAGTTTAGGAAATAAACTTGCACAAAACCTGCAAAAGGGGCCCAAGGGGCATTTACACGTCTAGCAGAGTAAGTCTGTCAGAAGTAACCTTATGATTGCATCACAGATACTCACCTCTTGTCTTATTTTTGTAGAGCTGAAAGCTTTCTCATCACTCGGTTTAGCTTTAAACTGATATAGTGTAATTCCTTCTCCAGCTCCACAGCATATAAAAAGAGTCTAAAAGATAATTAGAAGTTAGTGGAGAATGAGTCAGTAATACACCTTGTGTTTAAAGACCACAGGTTATTAGAGTAAATTGCTCTGACAAGGAAGATAGTATGGTGAGCTAAACATGCCTTATGTAGCTAATTGTGGCTCTGACATTCTAAACCTGCATGGAAAACAGTATCTGTGGCAGTTTCTATCATTTAGAGATGTAGGGATAAAAACAATTTTAAGTAAATAGAGTCACATGCTTTGATTTTAAAACTGGGTAGAAAAATTTAAAAAAAATATAAGTTCTAGCTTCAGAAAAATAATGTGACATATGTCCTGAATCCCTATGTCATGATGCCTGATAGTATCCTGGTTAAAACAAATGCTTACTCTTGAAATTCTTGTTGAGTGACAGGCTGGTAGTCATCTTCAATTTCTGTAGAATAATACTTCTTCTCAAGCCGCTCTTTCCATTTTTTCATTTTCTCTGCTCTTTGAATCTCCTGTCAATTTAGAGGACAAGTATAAGCCTGATTGACTTTTTGCCCTGCAAAGGCACTTAAGAGGACTTGGTATAAGAACTATTTAGCATTTTTAGGGAAGTTTAGGGGTTTTTGATTTTGTTTACAAATTTTCCTCATTACATTGCCTTTCCCTTTTGCCATCTTCATCTGAGTTGCTTCCTGTTTTATCCTTGGTGTCAAACCTGAGATGTTCATTCTGTATGTTTGTTCTTTATTCCAGTTTTTTGCAGTGCTAGGGATTGAACCCAGGCCCTTGTGCATGGTAGGCAAGTGCTCTACCACTGAGCTACATGGCCAGCCCATATACCTCTAAGTAATTACTGTGTTACTCAATCTGCATACACTCTATCCATGTATTCCCAAACAAGTACCTCATGCCAGAAAATTTGTGCTGCTGGAACAAAAGTATTTTCATCTGTATAAAGGATAGTTCCATCCTAGTAAATGATGGCTTGAAATAGTTATTTTATGGAATTGCAAATGTACATGTTAAATAGCCAGAAGAGTAGATTGGGCTATAAAGCTAATGTCTAGGAACTCAGAATTTTACCCTCTTAAACTCTGCTCTCTGTTGCTTGGGTCTTAGGCTTTGCACCCCTCATTCTCCAAACTTTTGCAAGCTGGATTTCTGTTAAGATTCTGCCAGTATTTAGGGAATGTAGAGGAGAAGGGTCTTTCTCGGATTTTTTGTTTCTAGTAGTACTTCTTATGCAATTTCCAGCAGCAATGTTAGCTCAAGGCTGCAGCATGTAGCATCTTTTGGCATACCCAGAATTCGCCTCATCACATTCCTTCAGAAGTAATCAGCAATAGCATCTTTAAAAAGAATGTTCACATTTTCCCTTATCTTGATTTTGAACATGCACATTAATTTCTGGGCATTATTTACTCTTGTTACCATTGTAATTTTTAATAAACTGATGTCTGCATACATGACATGATAGTATTTATATAAATTATTTCTCCAACTATTTTATTGAATGTTCTTACTTTTCATTTTAATTTTCAGATCATCATATATCTAGAAAGCATATCTCAAATAGAGGCAGTTTTACCTCTTTTAGATTCTTAAATCTCTAATGCATTTCTCTTACCTAATTGTTTTGATTGACCCCTTTCAATACATCAATATCTTGTCTTCAACATTTGGGTACTCAGTTGTACTTGTTTCTGCTAGGGTATTATTTCTTCTCGGCTTCTCATTGGACAGAGATAGTAGCAGGGAGATATCTATTCCTTAATGTGTTTGCCTCACATGCACAAGGCCTATTAAGGAATTCCAGCAACTTAGGAACCTGAGGCAGGAGGATCTCAAATTTAAGGCCAGCCTGGGTAACTTAGACCCTGTCTTAAAAAATAAAATGAGGGGCTGGGGATGTAGCTCAGTAGTAAAGTGTCCCTCCGGTTCAATCCCCAGTACTTTCATTTTGTTAATTTCTCTTTAAGATTGAGGTTGAAACTTATTAAATACCCAGCAAATATGGAAAATGATCATGTAATTTTCCTTTTAATATAATTATGTTGATTACCCAATTTTGAACCATTCTTTCATAGAATAAGCCTTACATGAATTATGATATTTGTGTGCTTTTTTTGTTTTGTTTTTGGTTCACTGGGGATTGAACTCAGGGCCTTGTGCATTTTAAGCAAATGTTCTACCCTTGAGCTATATTGTGTGCTATTAGATTCTATTTGCTTATATTTTACTTAAGACTTTTGCTTCAAGAATTGTGAGATTAGCTTTTTTGTCTTTTTGGTACAATATATAATTACTGTAAAAGAATAATGTAGAACTTTCTCCTTTTGCTCTGAGTGGCTTAAATAGCTCAAAATTGTTTCTTAAGTAGGGTGCAGTGGCGGGCACATGCCTGTAATCCCAGTGGCTGAGGCGGCTGAGTCAGGAGGATCAAGGATTTGAAGCCAGCCTCAGCAACTCAGCGAGGCCCTAAGCAACTCAGCAAGACCCTATCTCTACATAAAATACAAAATAGTGCTGGGGATGTGGCTCAGTGGTTGTGTACCCCTGAGCATTTAATCCCTGGTACTCCCCCCGCAATTCCTCACAATTTTTTTTTTTTTTAAACTTAAAAGCTACAAGAACAATTCAAATACATTTTTTTCCCTGAAGTCTTTAGGGGTAAGACATGAATGTTTTATTCCTGAATACTTCAGTATGTATCCTAATACAACAATCAGAATCAGAAAATTAATATTGATAAATTATTATAATCCTCACTGTCCCATTCAAGTTTACCAGTCAATGGTCCCAATGATGTTCTTATGGGAAAAGGATCCAGTTCAGAATTATGCATTGTATTTTTACTTGTCATTTTAATCTTATTTACTGTGGAATAGTTCCACATGTTTACAGTGTGACCCTGATACTTTTAAAGAATACAGGTCAGTTATTTTGTGGAATGTCCTTCAGTTTAGGATTGTGTGACATTTCATTATGATTAGATACTGGCTATACGTATTTGACAGGGATGTTGATTTAATGGCATCCTATCAGGTGGCATGATTTAAATTTGTTCCAGTACTGATGATGTTGCTTTGTGATTGTTGAAGATGCTCTGGGGCTGGGGATATAGCTTAGTGGAGTGCTTGCCTCACATACACAAGGCCGAGGGTTCAATCCTCAGCACCACCAAAAAAGATGGTATTGGTTAGACTTCATCCTAATATTACTGCTTGTCTTGTGTGCTTTAAACAGGTCTCTGTTCTTCTTTGAACAGTTTTACTTTCTGGCTCAACAAAATATTCCAGGCTCATTTGTACTTTCCAGGCTACAATAAGTAGGGTCTCCAAGGAGTCCTGCCTCCTTTTAGCAGAGAATGGTATTTGGAAACTAAGATTTGGGTACTCAGTTGTACTTGTTTCTGCTAGGGTATTATTTCTTCTCGGCTTCTCAGTGGACAGATAGTAGCAGGGAGATATCCATTCCTTAAACTCCACATATATATTCCTTAAATTTCATATTTATTGAGTATATATATGCTATAATTTTTGAAATGTTAGAATCATTGGAATAAGTCATCACATTAATAGGAGAGAAATATAATCATTTTATGTACTCTAAATAAATAATGCTACAGTGAGTGTACACCTGGGGACCAGGGGATCTGGCTGAGAGTACTAGGAGAGAGGAAGCACCTGGGATCCAAATGGTATGTCTTAAATAAGAAAGGATCTCAATTCTGGGAAATATATTTAGAGATAACTACTACTTTTCTGAATAAAGAAAATCATTACAGTTCCTAACCAGAACTTTTTTGTAAGCAGATTTCGAATAAAGCTACCACTTATTTATGAAAAAATTTAAACCTTACATTTTCATCAAAGCCTTGTCTTCTGGCTTCTTCAGCCAATTCTCCACTGCTTTTGCTATGAGAAATACAAAATAAAAATCAGAGGCATACAAAAGTAAAAAGGGAAGTGATACTGTGAAATACATTCTGATTGATAGTAAGGATATGAATTGTATTCTTGTTTTTTATGATAATAAATCCTAATTATTTGGAAAATGTGATCAATAAGAGGTTCACATCTTTTGCTGTTTTTTTTTTTTCTTTTTTTAAGAAAGTTTACTTTTTTTGCCAGAGGTCTGGGTTTGTGAAGCATTTTGACACACATCATGGAATAAATGTGTGTAAAATTAAAAAATAAAATTAAGTATGAGTATTATCTGCAAGTGTTGTGTGTAAAATATTTTCATTTTAGATAGCTAAATATGTTTTCTCTCATTATAGGACTCTCCCAACTTCCTTTAAAGTTTTTTCTCGGGCTGGGGAGTTCAGTAGTAGAGCAGTTGCCTATGGTACACAAGGCTGTGGTTCAATCCCCAGTACCACCCCCCCCCCCAAAGAAGCAAGAAACCTTTATCTGAGTAGTGCATTATATTCAGTTTGTTTGGTGATACCAGGCATCGAACCCAGGGCCTCATGCATGCTAGACAAGTACTCTGCCACTGAGCAACATGCCAGGACTACTACATTAATTATATTTTATTTTTTTGTGGTACTGAGAATTGAGCCCAGGGCATTTTACCACTGAGTTATATCCCTAGTTTTTGTTTTGTTTTGTTCTGTTTTGTTTTTTTTTGAGACAGGGTCTCAGTAAATTGCTGAGGCTTGCATTCCCCCGGCCTCAGCCTTCCGAATCACTGGATTATAGTGAGTATGTGCCACAGCACCTAGTTATGTTAATTTTAAATTAGCTTAAGAGTTTCATGACATTCTCAGAAATTAGGAGGCACTACTGAATGTAATGACAATATATTTAGAATCACTACATTGGATGGTGGTAATTTTGAAATCAAAACCTTAACTCTCATTTTTTAAGTTTCTCCTATAATACAGATGGTTTCTGACTTAACCATGGGTCAATTTATTATTTTTCGACTTTATGATGATGTAAAAGTGATATACATTCAGTAGAAACTTTAAATTTTGATCATTTCTACAGCTGAAATGCTAAGTCATCTTACTATGTTGGGTAGTGGCAGTAAGCTGTATCTCCCAGTCACAAAGAGAGACAACTGAGTCTAAAGTGTGCTATGTTGCCAGTGTTTTTTTGGATCCAGGTATACAATAAACACTTAACTATAAAAACAGCTTTGTGTTAGATGATTTTGCCCAATTGTAGGCTCCTTGATTCAATCCCTGGTACAAAATAAATAAATAAATAAAATTTAAGAAAAGTCATCTTACATATTTACGTCTTCATCTTCTTGAGCTTTCTTCAGTTTGAGTTTCTCAAGTGCATTAAAACAACCCTGTACATAATTAAAAATAGTTTAAAACTTCACCAAAAATATAGCCTGTATTAGTAATGTTTAACCAAAGTAAATTAAATATGAAATATTTATCTCTAGGGACTGCTGTCCTAAAGAAATGTCATGATTATCCTTTCACGTTGCTATCATCTTTGGTTTTTACCTTTGTGAAAAAGCAAAAGGGGTTAATTCTCATGAGGGCATCACACTTGAAAAAAAATCTTTTATATGTATTAATATGCATTAAGGATATTAACACTTTTAATATTTGCACCAACATCATACTCCAGATAAAGGATGAAAAGTAATCCACAGTTAAGCTCTATGCAAGGGGTTCTGTCATCTTAATAGTTTTCTTTTACAGATAAGTTCTTGGAAGAAGTTCTTAAGCCCCACTAACCCCATAACTACTAGGACTTTTTCTCTGTGAAGTGCTATGCTTGGACCCATGGGGTATGTAGAGATGTCTAGAGAAAAGGCAGATTCCACTTCATCAAGAATAGAATGTTGGCAAGAAAGCCAGGAGCTATGAGAATATTTCAGCATTAGCAGAATACGTGAAAGCACAGTGCTCAAATTACCTGGGAAATAGGTGATGTAAAAAGGGCTTAAATAACTGTAGTTAATGAAGATGGATTGTGACTATGAGGCTTGACAAGGGCTTGGAGTATTGAGTAAAGACTTTGGATCTATTTTGAAAGGTCCAGGGAAACTGATAGGATCAGAGTAGGAATTGCATGGGAAGAAAGCTAGAACAGTTATGAAGAGCTGCCATAGGGAAGGTTGGTGAAACCTACAGAAAGCCATAATCTAGTGGTGGCAGTGAGAATTCCAAAAGATTCTTGAATTCCACAAAGACTAGTAAGATCTGTAGGGAGAAAATACACATGGGCCATATCAGAAGACTATATGAAAGGGAAGGAAATAAGTCTTGAGCCAGGAGTGACTGAGAATAATATTACAATTAATGGAAACAGGAAAGTGAAGAAGACAGGGTACATGGAATTCTCAGTTTATATTGTGTAGAAATTTGCCAGAATCTAAATTGAAAACTTTTGAGAGGGAAGAAATAAAATAATATTAAGTAATCCTATTTACTATTTGATATATGGAGCTCTGAAATAATTTCAGCTACTTTTTAAAAATTTTTTGTTTTAATTAGTTACACATGACAGTACAGTGACCTTGACATATCATACATTTGAATCAGATGGGATATAATTTCTCATTTTTCTGAGTGTACAGGTTGCAAAATCATATTGGTCATGCAGTCACATATATACACACAGTAATAATAGTGTCTATTTCATTCTACTATCCTTCCTATCCCCCCATCCCCTCTCCTCCCCTCCCATCACTTCTCTCTACCTAATCTAAGGTAACGCTATTCTTTTTTTTTTTTTCCTCACATCTTCATACATGTATTTTAAGCCAGAGAGAACACTTCACGCCCCTAGTAAAGTAGTGCAAATATGAGTAACACTGGGTCAAGAAACAAAACCCCAGGAAGAAAGACCACCACCAGTTGGGGGTTTAAGTGTTTTTTGACCCAAGAACTAGGAATACAGTTTGCTTTAGAATTATAGTTAGAAAAGAATTTGACATACCTTTTTAATCATGTTACCAAGTTCAAAATCTGGTCTTCTGCCTATTGAATAATCAGCTTTCACTTCAGAATAGGTGTCATTAATTATTGCCAAGAACATGTTCTAGGGAGAAAATTCACACAATTATTTCAATAGATACTTTTGCTGTTGTTGCTGTACTGGGTATCGAACCCAGGGGCACTCTATCTCTGAGCTACATCCCTAGCCCTTTTTATTTTTTGAGATACACAGTTTCTCTAGGTTGCTGAGGTTGGCCTTGAACTTGCACTCCCCTACCTCAGTCTCTCGAGTTACTGGGATTACAGGCATATGCCACCATTGCTAGGCTAAAGCTTAGTTTAAATGTTAGTGATTTTAAAGCAGATGTAGTAGCACATGCCTGCAGTCCCGGCTATCTGGGAGGCTGATGTAGAAGAATTGCTTAAGCCCAGAAGTTCAAGACCAGCCTGAGCAAAATAGTGAGATTTTGTCTCAAAAAAAAAAAAAAAAGTGACTTTAAAAAGTGTCATGTCATGGAATTTGGGGGTGGGGTTATGGCTCAAGGGTAGAGTGCTCGCTTAGTAGTCTGAGGCCCTGGGTTTGATCCTCAGCACCACATAAAAAATAGATAAAATAAAGGTATTTTACAACTAAAAAATATATTTTTTTTAAATACTGGAATTTGTAAAATTAGATTCAAGTTTTAAATTAACCCATTTGGGGCTGGAGATGTGGTCTAGTGGTAGAATACTTGCCTCACATGCATGAGATCCTAGGTTCAATCACCAGCATTGCCAAACCAAAAAGTAACCCATATACTCAATAACAAGTGGCTATGCAGAGTACAATGGAACACATATAGCCTGTGGATACAGGCAAATATGATAAATGAGAAAGATAGCGTAAAATAGTGTCTGACCTGGTTACTAATGTTATAATTTATCAATATTACATATCAGAAAAAAATTTAGAGTAATTATATGTTCATAAGGGATTTGTTGTTTGTTTTTAAGTTCTATGAAATTGCTTAAATTTCCCATCTGACTGCAACTACTAATGGCCAGATAACACAATAATATTGTCGCCCCTAGTCCAGCTTTCCACCTTTAACTCTGTCACCCTGAGGACTCTTGAATATCACTGGGGAATTACTTCTATGCATGACAAAAAGTATTTTCATGGAAGACATTAACAGTGCCTTGACTGGGAGGCAAGTTTCCTTTAATAGGAAACTCAAAGAGACTTGTTCTGAGTATGTCTGAGAGGCCCATCTTAGTGACTCCTAGAAAATCACAAAGGGATGAGTTTTTAGCCATAAGAGCTGTAAGCCATTGAAATATGGGAATGGCTGAATTCCCTGCCTGAAAAGACATAGGACCTTCACATTTTGTTTAAAGGATTTAGCACATTCCTTGTTAAAATAAGCACCTATTATGATCCCATTTCCCATTAACAACTTGAAAATATTAGTAGTCACTAGTCTACAAAAATGGATTATTAGGAATCCATGCCATTAATAAATGTCAGTGTTCTTAACAGGTAGAAAGTAATACTACAATTTCTTTTAAATGAGTAATTCCATTTTTAAAAAAATGTAGGGAAAAAGGCAGAGGAGAGAATATATAGTTATTCTTACCAGCAGGACAAAGAACACAAAAAAGATAAAAGTGATGAAGTAAATGGGTCCCAAGATCCAATTGGCTTGCTGAATACCAGCAAAATTAAAATCTCCAAGAACAATTCGAAATTGTGTAAATCTTTGGTAAGAAGAAAGAAGAACATTAGAAAATATTACCTCCTTTTCTGTACATACATGACAACTGTTGGGAGTTGTCTTTAGGAAAGTAGCTGCATATACCCTCTGGTTTTAATTATTACTGCAGAGTTCTATAAAATGATGTGGAAAAGTCCCCTTAAGGCAAGACTTGAGTCACTTGCCTCAGTTGCTGAACAGGTAGTTTAGGAAATGATAGATTTCAATTTGTTTAACCAATGTGAATTCAGTGTTCATTTACAACATTTGAATCTTGAGATAACTATTTACAAATGGTTTTGGCAGTGACTTCCTTGACCATTTCTGTGCCCTTCTAGAAGTGAACACTTTTAGTTTACCAATGATTTTCAACCCAAGAGCCCTAAAGGTTCTAATGTCAACGGTGTGTTTAATTTTTGTCTTAACTAACTCGACTTTTCCAACAATTTGTCTCTTGGTAGTCTCAAAGTGCTGGTAATGATCCTCAACATGGTCCTGGGGTTTATTTTATCCTTACTCTAAGAACTCAGTTTCAATGTGAAATACCATTTAAAATATTACAGACCTTCATTTTTCTCATTTTAAGAATGAAAATTAAGAAATTGAAGGGCTGAGAAAATGGGTCAGTGGTAGAGCACTTACCTAGCATCAGGGATGTATACTCGCCTTTACATCAGGAGTATAATTTATAAATTGTGTGTTTCTTTAAGGGTTAATCCTGGAAGCAAGGGTTTGGTTTGGTTTGGTACTGGGGATTAAAGCCAGGGGCACTTAACCACTGAGCCACATCCCCAGCCCTTTTTTGTATTTTATTTAGAGACAGGGTCTCACTGAATTGCTTAGGGCTTCACTAAGTTGCTGAGGCTGGCATTGAAATTGTGATCCTCCTGCCTCAGCCTCTGGAGCCACTGGGATTACTGTAAGGCACCACCATGCCCAGCCAGGAAGCAATTTTTAATAGTATGTTAAAACTCTTCATGATTATTCAGTTGGTCAAAAGGGAGGCAGTTTCTCTTTTTGCTTTTGCCAATCACATAAAAGGAAACAAGGCTATCTACAATAAAGAAAGAAAACACATTGAAATAAATGGGCTAATTGGAGTCCTAGGACTCAAACGTCTGAATTTCCTCCCTAGTACCTAGGTAAGACCTGACCAAACCATACAGTATTCATCCTCCCCTTAATACTGGTTTGTAATGTTCTACATAAGGTAGAGAAAATGCTGAAATGAAAGAAGACTAAATAGTTTTTCCTTTCTGGCATAGGAGAATAAGAAAATTGTTTTAGTGTTTCTAATGTCATTTTTAAAAATCTTCTAGTTAAAGGCATCATTTCTCATTCTTTTCTCCTTTCCAGAAATTAGCTCAATAACTAAAGCTCCATTCAGCCCTTTTCTACCAGGAAAGTGTTTAGATACCTCTGTTCTGTAGAAAATGATGAGAATAAAAACCTAAGCAGGGCTGGGGATGTGGCTCAAGCGGTAGCGCGCTCACCTGGTCTGTGTGTGGCCTGGGTTCGATCCTCAGCACCACATACAAAGATGTTGTGTCCGCCAAAAACTAAAAAATAAATATTAAAATTCTCTCTCTCTTTCTCTCTCTCTCTTAAAAACAAACAAACAAACAACAACAACAAAAAAAAAACCTAAGCAATCTACCCAATGGTTATAATCACATAGGAACTGGAGACTCCAGACACAAAAGGAGTATTTGCCCCTTTTCTCCTATTAATTTGGAGCTTATGCGTTTTTTCTGTTCCCTCTCCTTCCAAGCTAAAAGAAACAAATGTTGCCTCAGCAGAGAGGGTTAATTGAGTGAAAATACTACTTTGTAACTTCTTGACACCCTTCCTAACTTTCCAGAGTTCTTCCTTACTGAATTAAAATAACTACCAGATTGTTCAGTAGTAGTGTGCCATTTGTCATTAATGTGACCTTTCAGTCTCACTTAGAAGCATTGATTTGGTAGTAGCTACTTCTAAGCATTCTCCAAATATTCTCTTTATTCCACTCTCTGCGCTCTTTTGTGACTCAGATTCAATGTATATGACTTTCTCATTCTATTCCTTATATCGCATACCCTCTTTCAATATTTTGTCTTTCAGTAATACACTTTTGATCATTTGTTCTGATCTGTTCTGCTTTTCTCATCCCTCTGTGTTTTATTTGCTGTCACCTTATCAATGGAGCTTTTAATCTCAGCTACTGTGGTTTTCAGTTCTAAAATTCTACTTTTGGTATTTTTCCAAATATGTCACTTTTTATATTGTCTCCTTTTCTGAAGACATTTTTTGACTTGTGTTCTTTCAAAATATAAGTATTGTTTAATAAGTATTTCAATTTCTAAAGTCTTTGAAGTTTGTGTTGTCTGTTATATCTGCTTGTCTTAATGATGATTTTTCTTCTCCCTTATGTACCAAGTTATCTTTAATTGTGAGAAGCACATTATATATGAAAAAAATTACTTGTAGAAGTAATTTGTGGGTTGGGGTTATGGCTCAGTGGTAGAACACTTGCCTAGCATGCATGAGGCACTGGGTTCATGCAGCACATAAAAATAAAATAAAGGTATTGTGTCCACCTACAACTAAAATATATATTTAAAAAAGAAAAGAAATAATTTGTGACCTAAGAGGAAGGTCAAGTAGATGGAAACATTCTAGCTTGGGACCATCTTAAGTTCAAGACCATGATACCTAGGTGAATGAACCCAAGCTTCAAGTCTCTATCATGGATTTACCTTTAATTTGAAATTACAGTGACTCAAGCTTCCTATTTGATGTGTGGAAAGATGATCAGACAGACCTTCCCTAAACACACACATTTTGTTCAGACTCTGGGCTTTGCTTTCTGTCTTTTCCTGAGAGTTGGCCAGAAACACATTTATTTCGTCAGCTATTTCTTCTAGATCAGCAAAAAATGCCTTCAGGGAAGGATTCTGGGAAGATGGTAGAGATGGAAGTGCCCAGAATCTGTCCCCCACTCCACACACACCTAAATAAAAATTGTACTGGAAAAATCTGTCTAATGTAACTGTTTTGAAAATCTGGAGTCTATTAAAGAAGTCCTGCAACTTTCATAATAAGACTTGAACAGTAAATTGTGGTTAATATTTGGTTTGTTTCAGTTCAGCTCAGCAGTAGCTATGCATCCCCCAACCCAGTCTCAAGCTGGTATCCATGCACATGTTTCTGGAGCAGCTTTATATGCAACTTGCAAAGGACAGGATGGGGAGTAAAGACCATGTCCTCCAAATATTAGGGCTTATGTTCCAATTGTTTGGTGCTAATCGAAAAGACGCAGATACAGAGGTGGGGAACCATTGTTGCCACCTACTCCGCATTGCTTCAAGTATCTTTTCTGACTGAAACGTCCTTGGAATTTTAAAGGGCTGACATCTTCTCCCTCCCACTCTGTATTTTTCTTTTTTCCCTTTGGGGAACAGGCATTAAAGATAGAACAACCAAAAGCAATTGCAAATACAGAAGTTATAAAGTCAATGTGCAATACAGAGAAAGACACAGGCTCAGAGAAAACTAAGATCTTATGTTTATAACTCAAGCTGATTCCCAGCATGGAAATAGATAATAGCAGCTAAAAAAAAAAAAAAAAAAAAAAAAACAATAAAAATACCAAAAAGAAAAAAAATTCTAGACCTGAAAAATACAAAAACTAAAATGAAAATTTCACTAGAGGCATTCAAAGGCAGATTTGAGCTGCAGAAGAAAGAATCAGTGAACTTGAAGGTAGGATGAATGAGGTTATTGAGTCTGAGAAATAGGAAAAAGATTGAAGAAAGATAAACAGATCCTTGGGGACCGGTGGGACATCATCAAGCAAGCTTGTCATATACAATTGTGTGAATTCCAGAAGGAGAATAGAGAGGAACAGAAAAATTATTTGCATAAATAATGGCCGAAAACTTTGGTGAAAGATAAGAATATCTTCTTATCTCAGGGAACTCAAAGAGCTGAGCACAGTGGCACACACCTGTAATCACAGCAGCTCAGGAAGCTGAGGTGGGAAGATCACACGTTCAATGCCAGCCTCAGCAACTTAAGCTCTAGGCAAAATAAAAAGGGCTAGAGAAATAGCTCAGTAGTAAAGCACCCCTGAGTTCAATCCCCAATGCTCAAAAAAGAAGAAAAGGAAAAGAAAAAAGATAAATTCAAAGATACCCACAACAAAACATACTGTCAAACTATCAAAAGGCAAAGACAATCTGGATAGCAGTGACAAAAGCAACATCACATATTGGGAATTCTCAGTAAAAATATCAGCATATTTCTCATCAGAAACACAGTGGACTGGTATGTTCAAAGTTCTAAACGGAAAAACAAAATAAATTGAACAAGAATCCTGAATCTGGCAAAACCGTCCTTCAAAAGTGAGAAAGAAATTAGGTAATTTCTAGATAAGTAAAAGCTTAGGGAGCACATTACCACTAGACCTGTCTTACAAATCTGAAAGGGAGTCCTACAGGTTGAAATGAAAGCACACTAAACCGTAACTTAAAGGCATATGAAGGAGTATAGATCTCAGTAGAGGATAAATATGTGGGTAATTATAAAAGTTATTGTTGGCCAGGAGCACACCCCTGTAATACCAGCAGCTTTGGAGGCTGAGGCAGGAGGATCATGGTTCAAAGCCAGCCTCAGCAAAAATGAGGCACTAAGCAACTCAGTGAGACCCTGTCTCTAAATAAAATACAAAATAGGGCTGGGGATGTGGCTAGTGGCCGAGTTAAATCCCTAAGTTAAATCCCCGGTACCAAAAAAAAAAAAAAAAAGTTATTGTTGTAGCAACAGTTTTTAATTACATTTTTTAGTTTTCTACATAATTTAAACTTTTCAAATTATAGGTCATTTAAAGTTGAAAGGACTTTGGGGAGTAGTTATTCCAGTTCCTTCATTTTACAGATAAGAAAATTGAAGTCTAGAAAATATAAGTACCTAATGGCAGAACTGGAAACTAGAATTATATTCTTTTGGTTTGTAGTAAATTATTTTCATTGCTAATTTGGTAAAAGGTTAATTCAGAAAAATGCTATAAAATTTATACATTTTTACTTCAGTTATTTACATGTGGCTTGAAAAAAAGGCAACCTCAGACATTTCTTTAGTTTCTCAAAAATTTAGAAATGGACAATTAATTAATTAAAGCAAACAAACTTATTGCAGTACTTCTTAGAGCCAAAAGTAAATATACACTGCAAATATCCAAACTGTTGACGCAAAATTTCCCAAACTTCCTTAAATATAAAGCCATTTCTCCCAATTTTGATCTAGAATTCCAACAGAACAAATTTTAAGAATTGATTAACATATTTTTTTCATACAGATTGTAGTTGCTTTGTTTACTCAAAGTAAATCTATGAAAATATTTTGTTCTTAATGAAAAGGCTGAATGCTTTGCTAGAAATTGTATCTAGTCACTTTTATAAACTTGTTGCCTATTTTTTACTGCTTTATGCACATAAAGCTATTTTTAAAATACATATTTGGCAGATCAACATAGGACAATCAAGTCGATATCAATTTTTTAAATATTTTTTGTTTTTTAGTTGTAGTTGGACACAATACCTTCATTTTTTTTTTTTTTTAATGTGCTGCTGGGGATTCGAACTCAGTGCCCTGCACAAGCTAGGTGAGCGCTCTACCGCTGAGCCACAACCCAAACCCCTCAAGGTAATATCAATTTAAAGATTAAGATGGAGGGGCTGGGGGTGTGGCTCAAGAGGTAGCGCGCTCGCCTGGCATGCGTGCGGCCTGGGTTCGATCCTCAGCACCACATACAAACAAAGATGTTGTGTCCGCCGAGACTTAAAATAAATAAATAAATATTTAAAAAAAAAAAAAGATTAAGATGGAGCCCTTTAATACTTAAAAATGGATATCACCATCCATTGGGATCCTTCAATCCCAAACCTTACTTTGAATATGGCAGTTAGTCTTCAATGAAAGTATTGAACCAAGTTTAAATTAATAATTCTTATATTACCAATAATCATGGGCCTTGCCATGATTTGGGGTTACATATACAGAAAATATAATTACACTAAGAGCTTACATGGAATTTTGAAAAGTGGAAAAGTCGTCAACCTGTGATCCAAAAACAAGAAATCCTAACTGGGCGTAAGCAAAGAATATTATAAAAAACATGATGGCAAATCCTACTATGTCTTTGATACAGCGAGACAAAGTTGATGACAGCTGAGACATTGTCTTATTAAAGCTTATGAATTTGAATATCTGAAAAAGAACAAATTTAATTGAAATAGTAGAATCAAATTTATTAATTACTTAAATTAATTTGAGAACTGTGCTTCAAATTAAATGGGAAACTTAATGATAATCAAGGGTGTTTGGGCTGGGGATGTGGCTCAAGCGGTAGCGCGCTCGCCTGTCATGCGTGCGGCCCGGGTTCGATCCTCAGCACCACATACAAACAAAGATGTTGTGTCCACCGAGAACTAAAAAAATAAATAAATATTTAAAAAAAAAAAAAAAAAAAAGGGTGTTTGAGGATTTCCAGCCAACATGGAAGTCCACACTACTTTTTTTTAATAGTTTTTTTTTAATATTTTTTATTAATTGTTGATAAAGTTTTTATTTTATTTATTTGTATGTAGTTCTGAGAATCAAACCCAGTGCCTCACACATGCTAGGCAAGCGCTCTACCACTAAGCCACAATCTCAGCCCAGGCCAAACTACTTTTAAAATCACTTTTTCAAAACCAACAAACAAAAACAATCACTTGTTCAAAAAATACCTTTTTTCCCTTTATCACTTCAAGTTGCTATTATACTACTATAGTGTTGTCTTATGTAATCTAATAAAATACAAATACCTTTATCCATGCAAAGAAGATGGTAACAGCAATTATATTGTTATAATAAATGTGCCAGTATGCAAGAAAATAGAAATCTGAATATTTTTCAGTATTTTCCAATAGCTGTCCAAGTAAGAGAAAAAGTTGTATATTACAGTATATGTTGAAGGAAACAGCTGTAAAGCACAACTAAAAAATGGAAAAATAAGAAAGGTTAAATTAGAAATTATTTCTACTTCTAAATATTGCCAGCTTATGAAGAAATACTTGAAAAAGGTCAGACACAGTGGTGTATGCCTGTAATCCCAATGACTTTGGAGGCTGAGGCAGGAAGATCACAAGCTTGAGTCCATCCTCAGCAATTTAGTAAGACCCTGTCTCAAAATTTTAAAAAAATAATAAAAAATAAAAAGGGCTGGGGATGTAGCTCAGTGGCAGAGGGCCCCCGGGTTCAATTCCCAGAACAAAAAAATGTTAGTAAATTTTGAGCAATTTGGGAGGCTGAAACAGGAGAAGGGCATTTGACGCCAGCCCAGGCAACCTAGACCCTGTCTCAAAATTAAAAATAAAAAGGGCTGGAGATGTAGTTTAGTGGTAGAATGCCCCTGAATTCAATCTCCAGTACTGAAAAAAAAAAGTTTAATAAAAAGTGAGGGACAGAGCATATACATTTTTACAATCCTTAGTGTACAGAAATTGAAAGTAGTATAATTCTCATAAACATGAAGACATTCATTCCCTGGACCATCCTAATTTACCTACCTGCTTTTTTTAGTCATAAAGCACAAGTGTATAAAAATGATGTTACTCTGCATAGGCCATAAGGGTTTCTGATCTATATAATACCTAAAAGTTGAATATTTTCTACCATGTAATATTACAAGGGAAAAAAACTGCAATTACAAAAAATAAACCCTTCTAGAATGCCTTAACAACCATTTTAAAAGCAGGTTTCAGGTCCAGATTATTTTAGGCAACAGAGCTTCATAACTGCCATGAAACAATTCATTTGCTTTTCTTGCTTGAAATACCCATATGGTTAAACATTTAATTCTGTGCCCTTTGTTAGATATTACTGGAGAGATAGATGGTACACTATCTGAGAAATATTCAATCTGGTTTTGGGAAACAAGCCTTAGATACTAGATTGGCTATAACTACAGGCCAAAAAGGGAAAAGATCAGATTGTAAAAGCCGGACATATTTGTTCATTGACTATTCCTAATTTCAAGCTCATAACATTGTGTATTGTCCTGCTTAAATCTGTTTATTTTAGAACATTCCCATCACTAGACCTGGCAGTCTTTAGTGGGTTTTTTAAAAATATTTTTAGTTGTAGAGGGACATAATTCCTTTATCTTAATTTATTTGTTTTTATGTGGTGATGAGGATCAAACACCAGGGCCTCACACATGCTAGACAAGCGCTCTACCACTGAGCTACAACCCCGGCCCAGTCTTTGGCATTTCTTAAGGGACTATTTCCCAGTCCTGGTGCGTTTGTGCCCACAAGGTATCCTCTGGTTGCTCAAGCCCCCTCCTCACCTTCAGTTTTTGCCTAGTTTTGTCTTCACCTTACTTTCTCAATTTAGTGTGAGGAGAAAAGCAAATTTAGACAACGTCAAAGAGTACATTTTAAAGAAACCTGGAAAAAAATTGCTCAAAAAGATTCATGATAAATGAGACATGAGGGCTTGTAAGGGATAATTTTTTTTTCTTTTTCTTTTTTTTTTTTTAAGAAGTCTTACTCACTCTGTTACCCACATCTGCTTCATCTTGGACTCAAGTGACTCTCTTGACTTCATGCTTTCAAGCAGCTGGGACCTCTAGGCACTCAGCATCAAGTCAACAAAAATACTTTTATTTTTTTGAGTGTGGGTAGAGAAACCCACTATGTGCTCTAATTCATATTTATGGACTCAATCACCTTGTTCTAGGGATAAAAAAAAAATTTTTAGTTGTTAATGGACCTTTATTTTATTCCTAAATTTAAGCACACTGCTGAGAATTGAGCCCAGTGCCTCACACATACAAGGCAAGTGTTCTACCACTGAGCCACAACCCCAGCTCTGTTCTAGGGACCTTTGTTTTGTTTTCTTCTTTTCATGTTGGGTTTTTTTTTTTTTTTTTAATTTGTTTAAGTTGTTGCTGGACCTTTATTTTATTCATTTATTTATATGTGGTGCTGAGAATTGAACCCAGTGCCTCACACATATGAGGAAAATGCTCTACCACTGAGCCACAAACCCAGCCCTCTTTTCATGTTTTTTATTATTATTTTTTGGACTCGGGATTGAACCCAGGTGCTCTCTTCCACTGATCTACATCCCGAGCCCATTTTTTTTTGTTTTGTTTTGTTTTGAGACCAGGTCTTGCTAAATTGCCCAGGCTGACCTTGAATTTGTGACCCTCCTGCCTCAGCTTCCCAAGTAACTGGGATTACATGCTTGTGACATCATGCCTGGCCCCAGGGTTATTCTGGTTTCCTTTCCTCAAAAGTACTAGTGTGGGATGGTATGCCAGAATCTTATTGTTAACAGATGTCAAATCTATGGTATAAAAAACAATCACTACTGAGCTACATCCAGTCCTTTTTATTTTTCATTTTAAGATAGGGTTTTGGGGCTGGGGCTGTGGTTCAGCAGTAGAGCACTTGCCTGGCATGTGTGAGGCACTGGGTTTGATTCTCAGCACCACATATAAATAAATAAAGGTCATTGACAACTAAAAAAAAAAAAATAGATAGGGTCTCACTAAGTTGCTGAGACTGACCTTTGTATTTGTGATCCTCCTGCAATCTTAAGATTAGAGGCATGCACCACTGTGCTTAGCACCTGTTCTAGGTTTATGCTGGCCCTCCCAAATACCAATTAAAAAAAAATTCTGCCTTTTAGGGGCATATTATTAGTATGTGCTGTACAATTCATTTTATGTTTGATACTTCTAGCTTTCAAAATAAATCCCAGGTGAATAGAAATTCTGTTTTTTACATTTCCCTCATTGGTAGGTTCATATGTGATCCCCTTAGATGATACATATGAATATATACTCACCACCAAAAGTAGTAATTCTAGCCAGTTCCAAATACTTTTTAAATAAGCAGACTTAAATTCTTTTATTTTCTTGATTTCTTGTGTTGTGAAAACAACAAGAAAAATGCAAAATGTGACTTCACAGGAAGCAATAAAATAATCATAGTAGCTAACATATCTGAGGAGCTTCACAGAGTAAAACTGCCATGAAGTAAGTATTCCTCCAGTTGCAGGGAATTCTGCCACCAATCTGTAAAATCAGGTTTGTGAAAGTATGCATTTCAAGTAGTTGTATTTTAGTACTTAACTCAATGTGAAATTTCTAATCTATATTGATGCATTCTTTAATGATAATCGTATATTTTATAGATTTCCTTGAGGTCGTAAGTTCAATTTAAAATTTTTCTAGATGGACATTATGGCACATGCCTGTAATCCCAGCAGCCTGGAAGGCTGAGGTAGGAGGACTGAGTTCAAAGCCAGCCTCAGCAATTTAATGAGGCCCTAAGCAATTCAGTGAGACCCAGTCTCTAAAAAAGGGCTGGGGATGTGGCTCAGTGGTTAAGTGCCCCAGAATTCAATCCCTGGTACTAAAAATAAAAAGTAATCTAAAATAAAAAGATGTGATTTTTAGCCAGACTTTTAGTCTACTTTTTATTCAGATTGCTTGTTCATAACTGGAAATACTAATTTATCTCCATAGGAGGATGAGATGTTGTTCAAGAAAATGCTGTACTGTAGTTATTGTTATTAGGTAGGACTCTCTTCATAATACTTGAATATTTCAAAAGAGGGAAATAAATTTTCCCCTCTTCAGTTTATCAGAGAAAACTATCTTCTAAATGTCAAGGTCATATATTCTACTAAAACAAATATTTTCTGTTTACTTTAGGCATCTGATGTTGAAATATAAAGATTTATGTAAACAGAAGCACAAAAACTAATTTATGGCTGGGGTCATAGCTCAGTGGTAGATGCTTGCCTACCATATTCAATTCCCAGGACTTCCCCTGTCAAATTAATTCCAATATTAATATATTTTGAGGTTGTTCACTGGATTACTAATGTAGTCCAAAACCTTAAGTAATTAGGAATTTGCAATAATTTAAGGAACAAGCATTTCTCTCACAATGTTACAGTGCAGTTATTACTACCTAAAGATACTAGCAAAATTTATTGGTAATGGAATAAAATGCTTCTAAAACAAACACAAAAACCAGACAAACAGAACTGTTAACATCTTGTACATGGTAGTTTCATGTTGGATTGGTGAGTGAAATCAAAGAAATTCAATATTATGATCTGAAGTGCAGAATAATAATGAAAAATTGTTTCATTTGATACAAACGGATAAACAGATATTGTCTTAGTGTAGACAATATGCTTCTATAGTTAACAGCTGTTTACATGTGACTTGAAAAAAGAAGGCAACCTCAGACATTTCTTTATTTTCTCAAAAATTTAGTGAAAGATCATGGACAATTAATTAATTAAAGCAAACAAACCTATTGCAGTATTTCTTAGAGCCAAAAGTAAATATACACTGCAAATATCCAAACTGTTGGTGCAAAATTTCCCAAACTTCCTTAAATATAAAGCCATTTCTCTCAATCTTGATCTAGAATTCCATAGAACAAATTTTAAGAATTGATTAGCTATCATGTTAACTATCATGTTAACAGCTTCAAAATCTCCTGAAGTTTCTAAAAAATAATTTTTAATAAAGGTAACAGAATAAGTATAACACTTAGAGTACTTCATTTAACTTTAAGCCAGTTAACCTAATGATGCTTCCACTCTCATTTGGAACATAAATGTGATTATATGCTTTACTTTATCCTGACCAAGACTATTGGGAGGGTGATTGATATTGGTAAAAACTTCTGATTCTCTGAGGAAAAAAACAAGAATTACAGTATGAAAGACTATGTGGAGAGTTCATTTGTTTTATTCATTTATACAAATTTTAACAGTGATGATGTGTTTTATGAGGTGTTTTTGTTGTTGCACAAGAGCAAAATTCCCTGGTCTGAGAAAATTCTAATTCCATATTCCATTCAGAACAACAACAACAAAAAAGTAAGACCTATTAGAGAAAAGTAGATCACTAAAATTTTGCTTCTATAGTGGTTATTTTCCCACCCCTTCTTTCTAACAGAACCCTAATTGTATTCAGTCATCCCAGATGATTTAGGGGAAGCTGATTAAATCTCCAGACAGATCTAATCATGGTAATCCTATTTCCTTTGCCAGTATTTCATGCTAGAGTCTCATGAGTTCCATCAATTAGCATGGTCCAGGTTGGGAGGTGACCTAAGGTAACCAAATCAGACAAGCAGAGAGAATTTTTTTCTCTTTGGTTGGTATTTTCCTTTAAAGATATGAACAACATATAACCACTGTTGCTGCCTGTACACAACCATCTTGGGGAAGCTTAATACAAAAGAGCACAAAACTGCAGCCACCTTGGGGCTGGGGCTGTGGCTCAGTGGTAGAGTGCTCACCCAGCACCACATAAAAATAAAGGTACTATGTCCAACTACAAGTAAAACAGGATATTTTTTTAAAAAATTGCAGCCACCTCAAAGAAATGAAGCAAGACCCTTGAACTTACTGCAAAAGGTATTTTCCTGACAGTGAAATTGCTGCTATATGGCAGAAATAAATTGTTATTGTTTAAGCTAAATTAAGTTGGTGTTTTCTGTTAAAACCAAAAGCCTCTTAAATGACTTAGTGGTGAAGAGCTAAGACCTAAGTCAATTAGCTTTTACTAGATAACAATCTATCAAATGTTGTGGCTTACAAAATGTTGTGGCTTACAAGCTGAACTTGATCCATCTCAGCTAGTTTGGTATTATATCTGCCATTTGCCCCTGGACCCATTCATAATCTTTGAATTGGCTCCATTATATATGTCTCTCATCCTCCTTCTGGTTCCAACAAGTCAGCCCAAACATATCCTTCCATGGCTACTACAGAAGTGCAAGAGAGCAAGTTCTAATGTACCAACTCATTTCAAGCTTCTACTTATATATGCTAATCTTTCATTGGTCAATGCAAGTCACATGGTTAAACCCTGCATTATGAGCTGGAGCAGTGCCCGCTGCCCAGGGTGGCAGACAAATATATGAAAAATTGAGGCCATTTTTGCAATATGCCACAGGTTCTAATAATTGCTGGGATGCTGACAACTATATTACATATAGTTTGAAATTTAAGTTGCTCATTCTTTTTAAAATTTTTTTTTTAGTTGTAGATGGACATATACCTTTATTTTATTTATTTATGTGGTGCTGAGGATCAAACTCAGTGCCCCATGCATGGGGGGGAAAGCGCTCTACCACTGAGCCACAACCCTAGCCCAAATAGTTCACTCTTGAGACAAAAATGAATAATTTAATAAATAAGCTAATTCTGAAGGGAAGCCAAAAGATTTTAATAATCTGATAAAAAAGAAAACTGTCAACACTGCATGTCAGATTTGTGCAACTACAGAATTATAAGAAATTAGACTATATTTTCTTAAGCAATATGAAACTAACATATTGTATGTAATTCTCCATCTTCCTAGACATATTCTGAAATAATGAAACAACAAATGCAATGTTGCTTCAACTTCTTTTTCATTTTTGGCATAGAACTACATTATATTTAAAGCTCATGATTTTAATATCAGCATAAGTATGTACGAACTGGAAACCCAAGTGAGGGCTCTGTATGCTTTTTCAATTCAATATGCTAATATAGAACTTCAAGTCACTCACCTGATGATGCAAAACAGATTTACATTAGCATTGTATAGTGAAAAATCAATAAAAATAACTCTGGTCCCTCTTGTGATCCAGCTGTTCAGTCGAAGGTCAATGAACTTGTTTTTGGTTTCAGATTTTGATTTTGATAAAGTGAAAATAAAGCCCCCATTTCGGTAAACACCAACAAATCCCCAATGCCAAGGAGAACTGGTATTAGAAGTAGAATACGTCCATCTGTTAGACATAAAAAAATTAATGAAGAGAAGAGAAAGCCTAATTGAAAAGTCTTCTAAGAATTTAAACTAATCTTTCACCTACAAAAAAAAAATAAAATAAAAAAATAAACTAATCTTTGATTCACATGTGGCAGTTTTTTAAAAGTTCTAGTAGAAAATTCATTAAGTATTAGAATAATTTTGAAGTAAGACAATGAGTTAAGGATTAAGTTCAAAGGACTAGGTGATATGAGAAAATATTTCAAAAATCATCTGTTGCCTGTTGGAACTTAAAAATCTACAAATGAGAATTTTTTTTTTTTAAACATGCTATACCTGTTGTCTTATGAGTCGTTTAGTCTTTGAGTGGGACAAGAATGTGGGTAGTTTGTCTTCACAGTTTGTCTCATTAAAGTAATATACCATTATAAATGCCAATAAGTAAAAATCTCATTTTAATTAAAGTACACACATCATGCCCAGTGTAGTGGTTGGGGGTACACCTGTAGTCCCAGCCCCTCAGGAAGCTGAGGTGGAAGGATTGCAAATTCAAGGACTGTCTGGGCAATTTAGCAAGACTTTGTCTCAAAATATTTTTTTTTTAAAGAAAGAAAGAAAAGAACTGGGGGTGTGATGTAGCTAAGTAGTGGAGAAAGAAATTGAACCCCCTGGGTTCTACAATACTATACACACCAAAAAAAAAAAAAGAACACAAAATAAACTGCAATGTGTATAACCAAATTTTATTCCCTCAAAACATATTTCAAAGGTTATTCAAAGATTATTGCTTAAATTGCTTAAACATATTTTTCATATTTTTCTAGTAATAATACTGTTTTTTGTGGGGGAGGGTGACACTGATACCATTAGGAAAATGTACTTATACTTTTATAAAAGGTTCACAGTTGTGTTTTTTTTTTTTTGAGTACTTTCTGCACATGACTGTTAAACTGAAACAGAAAATTTTGCTACACCCACTCTCTACTGGTGTCCAATTTTTAACAGATAATATTTTCAATTAATGAATTTTATGCTTTAGATAGACAAACAAGCACAAATTGTTTCTTACTTTGGTTGTGGAAGAATGACAGGTATTAACTCACAATTTCAGTTAAGTACAGGGATTATCCAAAACATGCTTGGTATTTAAAGTATTTGTAGTTGTTATGAAAATCTGAAAAATTATAATTTATAACTAAAAGATTGGTCTTAAGATTCCAATTTAATATGTGTAATTAAATAACTGATTTGTAATTTTGAGTTGAAAGGGGTGAATAATACAATATTTAATAGAATGCATCATTATATCATGAATTTATTAAATTTATAAGAATTATACAATCCCTTAAGAATGTCCAAAACTCATGTAAGGAAGAAATAAATAATTCAACAAAAACTACAAAGCAATTGTCATTATTATTATTATTACTATTAGTTTTTTGTTTTTTATTTATATATAGCAGTGGAATGCATTACAATTCTTTTACATATATAGAGCACAATTTTTCATATCTCTGGTTGTATACATAGTATATTCACACCAATTCGTGTCTTCATACATGTACTTTAGATAATAATGATCATCACATTCAACCATCATTAAACCTAGGGCGCTTAACCACTGAACTACATCCTCAGTCCTTTTTATTTTTTATTTCGAGACAGGATCTCACTAAGTTGCATAGGGCCTGGCTAAATTGCTGAGGCTGGCCTCGAACTTGCAATCCTCCTGCCTCAGACTCCCAAGCTGCTGGAATTACAGCCGTGAGTCACAACACCCAGAACAAAGCAAGTATTCATCCTAGGGGTTCTGGGGAAGTTGTTCAGGAAAGGAAATATAATTAAAATTTATAACATAAATATTGACTAATGATTAAAAATAGTCATGGTATAACTATATTGAGAGACTAAAATGAGTAGAATGTGTGTGTAGAGGAGTAGCATATGAGAGCTACATGAAAAATTGCCTTCCAGATGGCCTTACAGATCCATAAACTGTAAAATCAAGTAATAGCAGTGCAAGGATGCTATTTGGAAACACGTATACAAGAAACAAATAAAAGAACAAAGAGTACCTGTTTCTGGAGGGTAGACCTTTGTAAACGTTTGTTATCACTTTGAAAAATACTAAACACAAAAAAGGTAGGGCTGGGTATGTAGGTCAGAGGAAGAATGCTTTCTAGCATATTTGAAGCCTTGGGTTCAATCACCAGTAATTAAAAAAAAAAGTTTATTCTTTCTACAATTTTCATAGGACAGACAAAGAGAGGTGGTGGTGCCAGTGGCTTTGGGCTTCCACATTTTCAACATAAAGTGTAGATGGAGCATTAGCCTCAGCTACTTTGGAGAATAAGGCCACAGAATCTTTGTCAGGTGTCATCAGATGTAGCATCTACAGAGCAAAACTACATTATTTTTTTAGTGTGTGGGCAGACACAAAAGATATCACTGAAGTAAGTAAGAGTGAGGAAGGAGAAAAGTGTCAGAGATATTTCCTAAGGATCCCACAAAGTTTTGGGGGTATGTTTGAGGGCATCTGGCCAGAACCAGAAAAACTGACTATTGGAAAAGCAACAAAATGATGTTTTACCCTGCATGCACTATAATTAAGCATTTCATATACTAAAGCCAGGAAAAAAATGAAAATGTTTTGCATCCTAAGGTAAGCAAACAACAAACCCCAAAACCCAAATAGGTTCACTCCCCTTTTTCTAAACACTGCTATATCCAAAAGTCTACTTTTGAAACTATTGTTATCACCTTACCTGCCAGACCCCAGCCTATATTACTTGGAAAATACACATATTTTTACAATTTGAAAAGATGCAATGGTTATCTGCTAAAAAAAAAAAGTTACTATATAATTTTATACTTACTCAGTATTAGATTGGAGGCCAAAATCAGATAGGTCTTCATTTTCAGCAGTATATTTGTCATAACATTCAGTAATCAAAGACTGAAAGGATGAATAGACCTTGCATGTGTTATTGCGGACTTTTAGTTGTCGGACTCTGGGGACTCCTAGAATTATGTTCTCATAGTAGATGCGACTGCTGTTCTTCAAATTATACAGCTTCTGGTTAGTATACCATGAGTCCCAGTACAAACCTTCCAAAAGGGGTCCTTCCATATACTTCACAAAGGCAGATAAATGGCATGGGGATAATATTTTCACATTAACAGAATCTACATTCATAACATTATACATAAGGGTATGAAAATTATTGAACATTAATATTAATAGTAATGATAATGATGCTTCTGTTGGTTAACATTTATTGAGCACTCACTATGTACTAGGCATTGCTCTAAGCACCTTATAATGTAATCCCATCACCCTTCTCTCCTTCCATATTAAAAACTGTCCATCAGCTTGGCTCAGGGGTGCACAACTGTAATCCCAGCAGTTTGGGAGTTTGAGGGAGGAGGATCACAAATTCAAGGCCAGCTTCAGCAATTTAGCAAGTTCCTAAGCAACTTAGTGAGATCCTGTCTCAAAATAAAAAATAAAAAGGTCAGAGGATGTCGCTCAGTAGTAAACCAAGGGTGGTTTAAACCTTAGTGCCATTAAAAGAAAAAAAACCTGTCTTCCTATACATGAGTATCAGAGTTGGTCATAGTCACACATCATGACTTTACCCCAAAGTTGTCTGTGTCCTCCCACCATTTTCCTCCCTAATTCTGGCCATGATGATTAATCTGGCTCTGTCCCTGTCTCCTCATTCTAAGGGATTCCAAGCCCAGAGTTCATTTTTTTTTCTTTTCTTTCTTTTTTTCTTGTGCACACACGTGCCCCAGGGTAAAGCACCCAGGGGTGCTTCACCACCATCCCCCGACTTTTAAAAAATTTTGAGACAAGGTCTAAGTTGTTTAGGGCCTCACTAAATTGCAGAGGTTGGCCTTGAATTTGGGATTCTTCTGTCTCAGCCTCCCAAACCACTGGGATTATAGGCATGTGCCACTCCACCTGGCTCAGGGTTCATTTTAAATTTCCTCCCTTTGTCTTCTTTGCCATTGACCACATACAGGTTTCAAGATAGCACAGTAAAAACAAGGCAGGATGAGCTCCACTAATTCTCCTATTGTTCTTTCGTATTTCATCTGGTCAAAACCAATGATCTATTATTTAGACTTTATCTCACACTCTCACTCTCAGGAAATGACCTTGGCTTCTTGATAAGTTTCAAATTCATAGTATGGCATTCATGATGTGAACTCTGTCCAATTCATAATCTAGTTTTTCCATTTCCATATGCCCACAATGCCAAACAGCTGCACAGGGAGGATTACTTGTAGCACATATTAGTTCCTTTTTCCTAGAATGCTCTTCTTTTTATTCATCTAGGATGCTCTTCTTTTTATTCAATACAGAAGATTGAACCTGAGTCTCCTCACACATACCAGGCTAGCACTTAACCTCTGAGCCTCACCCCTAGACTTTTTTTTTTTTTTTTAAGTAAGGTCTTGCTGTTACCTAGGCTTGCCTTGGACTTTCAATCCCGTCTCAGCCTTCTGAGTAGCTGGGATTACAGGTGTGCAACACCACACCCAGCCCTTTATTTAACCTTTAAAACTCAATAGCACTGTTATCACTTCTGGGAAGTTTTCCCTAATTGCTTGGTCTGCATAAATGTCTGTGACATGGGGTACCTGAAATTGCTGTTCCCTTAATTGTTTTTTCTTTGTAAGACGAGCATCTTGCTTTGTTAAGTATAGGAGGAAAAATAAGTTTATTCCAATGCTGAAGGAATGATTCTCTTTTGTAATTAAAAACAATATAAATTAAATATCTACATAATTATTTATTGACATTACTGTAACATATGGGGGGATACACAAATAGGGAAATGCACCAGTTGCATATCAAAATCATGTATATTGCACTTTCTGTGCAATTTAAGAATTTTTAAAAAATATTTTTTAAATTGTTGATGTACCTTTATTTTATTTATTGATTTATTTATATGTGGTGCTGAGAATTGAATGCAGTGTCTCACACATGCTAGACAAGTGTTCTACTACTGAGCCACAACTCCAGCCCCAATTTAAGAATTCTTAAGAAGAGCAACTGTCATTAATGTGAATTATATACACAATTATAGATTAACTTTAGATCCTAATCCTCACATAAAAAATTGTCTTGTACCTTCCAGCTAGGTGTGGTGGTACACGACTGTAATCTCAGAAATTTTGGAGACCAAAGCAAGAGGATCTCAAGTTTGAGGCCAGCCTTAGCAAAGCCCCAATAACTTAAGACACTGTCTCAAAATGTCTCAAAATAATAAATAAAAAGGGTTAGGCATGTGGCAGAGTGGTTAAGTGACCCTGGGTTCAATTCCGTTACAAAAAAAAAAATTGTCTTGGGCTGTGGTTGTGGCTCAGGGGTAGAATGCTTTTCTCCCACACGTGAGGCAATGGGTTCGATCCTCAGCACCAAATAAAATAAATAAATAAAATAAAGGTATTGTGTCCATCTACAACTAAAAAAATATTTTAAAAAAGTCTCGTATTTTCCAAATGAAATGGGACTGTCTGCAAAAACATCAAAGTTTTACAGTTACGAGAACAGCGTCAGTGAAAATAATCAGTTCTCAATACAATAAAAACTAAATATGAATTTGATTTTAATAATAATGGTAATCATTTTTATTCATTCATTCAATGAATGTTTCCCTAATGTTTACTATGTGTACCAAGGATTTATGGAATACCTAAAACTACTTAATCCACAGTCACATGACACCTTACCTTCCAAAAATCAGTTGTGCTGCGAATAGACTTAAAGTTGGTTCTTTCATCACCAGATACAGAAGTGTCCAAAAATAGAGATGACATAACCTTGTTTAAGTAATACATGTGTGGGTTTACCATCCCAAAAGTCACTAAAGAGAAGAATTTTTTATTTAAAAATTTATGCTTAAAAATTCAGTTTAATGTAAGAATTTAAAATGTTAACAATTTGTTCCCAATTTTCTTTTGAAAAATTAACTTTTGTCTAATTATGAAAATATTAATTTAAAAAAATCTAAAATAGAAATATTCAAGACAAAAAGAAGTTTCTTATAATCCCACTACTAGAGTTATGTGGGACCTAGATTCACTGGGTTTCATGCATATACACTTGAACAGGAAATAATTTTATCTCTATAAAAATGAGATCAAAGCAGGGGCTGGGGTTATAACTCAGCGGTAGAGCACTTGCCTTGCACATGTGAGGCAGTGGATTTGATCCTCAGCACGACATAAAATTAAATAAAATATTGTTTCCATCTTTAAAAAAAATGAGGTCAAAGCATATCCACTATTCTGCAAGTTGGCTTTTTCCCCGTGTTGAGAATAGGCAGGAAGTATGGTAAGCAGTCAAGGCTAAGGACTTTGAACCAGTCTGGTAAGGATTTGAGTCCTATTGTAGATATAATATCTCCTACTTCCTAGTTTTGATGTGAGAGATTAAATGGTGCTAGAACATTTAAAAAACCATCCTTTGGCACATAGTATGAGTTTTAAAATATATTACCTAGTATTCTTTCTATCTTGGGGGTTGGTGAGTTTTAGAGTAGAATATAGACTAAATATGTCTTTGTGGTTGTTTTTGTTTGTTTTGTTTTGTTTTTGCCAGAGCTCTTCATTTTGTTTGGGGTGTTTGTTTTGTGGTGCTGGAGGTAGAGTCCAGGACCTTGTTTATGCCAGGCAAGCACATTCCTAGTCCCAGAAACCCTTAATTTTTAAAAATCATGTATCTTCAACATCATTTCATGGCACACATAAACCTAAAACAGCCTAACAGTTGCATTTATTTCACAATGTTAAATCCACTTATTGGGAGAGATTCAGTTTGTTTTCAATTTTTATTTATTATAAGAAAAATACTAAAAATATCATTTAAATGGGTTGTGGGAGGCCAAACTAGACCGTGTCTGTCTCCCCTTCGGATTGGTGTGGCATCATTATAGGCCACTCTGGGTTGCCTAGGGAACCCAAACGTAGCCCAATCTTTAGGGTGCTAGCGACTGTGTCTTTGTGCATGGGCGTGTCTTCCCACATCTCCATGGGTGGAGCTATGCTCACCTGTTCCTTTGTAATATTTCAGGCCTGAGATTTCTATCCCTGTTTGGGATAGAATGTTCCATGGAAGTGCCCTTTGTGTGTCCCCTTCCCTTACTCTGCCCTTGGGTGTGGCCTATCTAGATGTCAGTCAACCTGCTGTCAGCAGACATCATGAAGCTAGGCTCAGCCCCCTTAAACCTGACCCCTTGCCTCATTTGAATAGGTTCTCCTCAATAAAAGGGGTCTGCACGTTTTCTCTCTCTCTTTCTGCGATGGACCCTTAAGGTTAGAGGAGCCGTCACAGCAACCCCAAAGAAAAAGGTATTTCTGTCTCTTGTGTGGTTATTTCACGTGGCCCAGTTATTTCAGTTCCCCTGGAGTGACCCTTAAGTGTTTATGTCGCCAAGAACACGACAGTGAGCCACGTATGGTTGCCTGCACTTGTAATCTCACTGATTTAGGAAGCTGAGACAGGAGGATTGCAAGTTTGAGGCCACTGTGGGCAACTTAGTGAGACCCTGTCTCAAAATAAAAATTTAAAAGGCTGGGAATATGTGGGTGTGTGTATATAAAATCTTAGTGGAATTATATTTTTTCCATTTTTCTAAATGTTCTGTAATAAGCATGTATTTTTTTTTTGCAACTAAGCTTTTTTTTGGGGGGGGTACCAGGGGTTGAATTCAGGGGCACTCGACCACTAAGCCATGTTCCCAGTCCTATTTTTTGTACTTTTATTTAGAGACAGAGTCTCACTGAGTTGTCTAGTGCCTCGCTTTTTGCTGAGGCTGGCTTTGAACTCAGGATCCTCCTGTCTTAGCCTCCCCAGCTGCTGAGATTTCAGGCCTGCACCACTGCACCCGGCTGCAACTAAGCTTTTATAAACTTGTCTACCTTCATTTATAAAGTTGATTACAGTTGTCTTTAATTAAGTTCTGACCCAGACTTTCCCCTGCAACACCAATTAATTAATTAGTATACTACTCACAGTATGCGGCACATAACAACATGAGATAAATCCTGTGAGGTTACAGCTACTAATGTTGGGTGTCCTAAAGACAAATTGCTATTTAATAGGCTCTTATTAAGTCAATGCCATTGACTCACAAATAGGGGGATGCAGGTTGAGAAGTCTTCCCAGTCCTCCTCAAAGATTTGCATTGATTCAGCACAAGCATATTTTACTGTTGATTATGCAACAAGTCACTAAAAAGAACAAAGTTAATGGCAGACACCAAGACAAAGTTCTGTGTTTGGTCTTATTTGTACTTCATGAAACTGAACTAATGCACCTATATGGCTATAAAAGAAATCAAATTATAATTGCCAACCCAAGGCATTATGTTCAAAATAGATCTGCCAAATAAAGGGGATAATTATATTCAACCAATATTGACTATGGAAACATATTATGACATTTGTGACCTTAAAAAAAAAGTAACAAAGTTTTTCCCCTTAAAAACTAGAAATACTATCAATAATAGGATAATAATGTCTAAAATGGGTCTCTGTTTTTTGAGAAGTTTTGCAACAGCCTATGATTTTACAGTCATTTATTTTTTATCTCCACGTTTTTTTAATATTTATTTTTTAGTTGCAGTTGGACACAATACCTTTATTTTACTTATTTATTTTTAGGTGGTGCTGAGGATCGAACCCAGGGCCTCACACATGCTAGACGACTGCTCTACTGCTGAGCCATAACCCCAGCCCCTTAGCTCCACATTTTAACTTCTAGTTCAATCAGTATCTCTGTCTACATCTGTGTACTTACATATACATAGATTTATTAAAAAAATAAAGTAGAGTAACAACTCCTGAAGTGTCGTTCTAATTTCTACTTCCTTTCTGTAATGTAGCTTAGGCTTCGAAGTCCCTGTGAGATACAAAACAAATTTATTATGCCATTTATAGAAAATATGTAGGTAACAACGATGGAAAAACACAACTATTTTTAGTTGTTGCACTGTGTGAAGGAAAGCTGCAATGGTTTTAGGTTATTTTTAAATTCTCACTTTAATGGGGCAGGGATAATTATGGAATTTTCCTATTGGGGTAAATGGGTAGTCATTTTATAGGTTATAGGTAGTCATTTTTATAGGTTTTATATCACGGTTGTTTCCTCACCAGTCCTGTCTTAAAATAAAAAAGTAAAACAAAACAAATCAAAATATACAACTCCCTGTTCAGTCCCTAGTAGCTTTCTCCACCCATCAATACTGACTCTTGCAGAGGAAGGCTTCCGCAGGGAGTGGGAAGGGGGCGTCGGGCTGGAGTTCTGTAAGGCCACGGATCCCTGGAGCAACCCAGCACTTGGGAGATCTGCCTAGTGACGGTCATCGTACAGCAGCAGAAGGGCCCAGTTAGAGCCTCGCAAGGGACGAGTGCCGGGTCTTTTCAGGGATTCATTTTCCATCTGTGAAATGGTTCTGTGACTCCCCGCTTCTCTAAGGGAGGGTGTGAGGGCTAAAATTGCTGCGGTCATATCTCAGATCTGGAGCTAAAGAGGGCCTTTCCGGGCATTTAAAGTTGTCACACAGGCCTTAGACACATCCCTCACCTCCTCGGTGCCACCGGGACGCCTCAGGCATGGCGGACCCCGCTTACATTGCCAGTTCGCCGGACCCGGGTTTGTAGCGCCTGCGCTATAATCCGGCGGCGTACACTACCTAGTTCAAGCGCCTGCGCGAGCCCCGCTCCCTAGGGACCAAGTTTCTGGACAAATTGCAAGTGCGCATGCGCAACGACGCTGAGGCAGCTCTTCTTCCGACGTGGGTTGAGGGTTATTTCTGTCTTCTGCTGCGGAAGGTTAGTTTGTTGTTCACTTCTCTGGACACAGAAAGGAAATCAATCTTACCCCCATAAACAATAACAAAAATGGCAAAAAAAGATTATGGTTGATTTCTTCCCTTGTGGTAGCTTCAGTCTGTCTTGTTCTTCCTGGATTTATTAGAAAATGAAATCAATAAAACCACAAAAACAAACCATCCCATCTAGATATTCAAAATGTACTCACAATTAACTTAAATATATAGAGTTTATGTATCTCATATTTTTGACGTACAAAGACGTAGACTATTAATATTAACTTGCTGGCAGGAGTCAGGAGGTCATAGGAGCAAGTAAGACCTCAGACAAAAGTTGTCTTTCATGTTTTAATATTGTTTTTTCTTTTTGTAATGAAAATAGATTTTTATTCTGGTTACAAAAATATGAAAAAGTAATACATATTCATTATTTTTAAAAGATTAAACAATAGGAAAACGAATATAGAAAAATGTTAAAACCATCTGTTGTCTCTTTACCAAGGAACCTACTTGCCCAAACTTTTTCTTTGCCTATACTCTCACATTTTACAAAAGTGGGTTCACTCTATACATGTTTTATAACCTTCTTTTAAAAACTTAATATGTCATAGATATTTTCCTTTATAGGATGAAAAGGGAAGTTATTAATATACATGTATATAGATGATTTGCCTTGTTTAAATATCCTATATGTTTGTAAGCAGATACAAATATAAATACTTATCTAGATGCAGATTTCTGATTTTATTTGTGCAGAAAATGATCTGGTAGATTACAAACCAAAATTTTAATAGCAGGGAATGAAATGGAAGGTGGGTTAGGAGGTGAGGTATGTGTAAAGGAAATTTAAAATTTTTTGCTTTATTCTGTATATATATGCATTATCTTCAAAATGTATGTGCTGCTTTAGAAATTAATAGATGTACATAATAGATACTGTTTTCTACCAATTAGTATTATTTATGTGATTTTGTTTGTTTGTTTATTTTTTTGTACTGGGGATCAAACCCAGGGCTTTCTGCATGCCAGGCAAGTGCAGTACCACTGAGCTACATGCCAGTCCATATGTGATCATTTAAAATTATTCTATGTGGGGTTGGGGATATGGCTCAGGTAGCAGCGCGCTTGCCTGGCAAGCGGGAGGCACTGGGTTCAATCCTCAACACCACATAAAAATAAAATAAAGATAAATAAATAAATAAAGTTATTCTATGTGATCTTATTGCATAACTATATTATAGCATTTAATCAATTGTCTATTTATTGGCTTTTAGGCTGTTTCCACCTTTTGGTATTATGTAAAATGGGGTATGTTTGCATGTTTTCTATAGTGTCTTTTCAGCCCTCGATATTATCATTTAATTTTTTTTTTCACCTACTAGTCAAGAATATTTTGTTTTGTTTGTTTGCTTTGGGGATTGAACCTAGGGACTCTTTTCTAGATCAGCCCTTTTTATTTTTATTTTGAGACCAGGTCTTATTAAGTTGCCCAAGGTGAACTTGAATTTATTTTATTTTCTAAAGAGAGAGAGAGAGAGAGAGAGAGAGAATTTTTTTAATATTTATTTTTTAGTTTTCAGGGGACACAACATTGTTGTTTGTATGTGGTGCTGAGGATCGAACAGGGCCGCTGGCGAGCGTGCTACCACTTGAGCCACATCCCCAGCCCTTGAACTTGAATTTATGATCCTCCTGTCTCAACAGAGTAGCTAGGATTATAGGCCTGTGACATCGTGCTTTGGTTCTAGGGTTATTTGGAGGTGATCAGTACTCTGCTACTATGGCTTCCTTTCCTCAAAATTACTAATGTGAGATGGTATGCCAGAATTGTTTTTTTTTTTTTTTTTTTGGTGGTGCTGGGGATTGAACCTGGGGCCTTGTGCATGGGAGGCAAGCACTCTACCAACTGAGCTATATCCCCAACCCTGGTACGCCAGAATCTTAATGTTAACAGATGTTAGGTCTGTGGTATAAGAAACAATCACTACTAACATACTTTGCATTAAAATAAAACAGAATGTGTCTTTTTATATAATTTTAAGTTTTTCCCTATGCAATAAAAAGACACCGTTATCATCAGATGTTTGGTCAGAGCAATGATAAGCTCTCTTTCCTACTTCTTATGGGTCTGATCATTTCACAGTTAACACCACAAGGGAAGTCCTGTAAGACTGAAAGATGAAAGATGAACTGTGGATTTTTTCTCCACTGTTTTTTCCCACTGTTAGTATTTATGAATTTATTATGTAATATAGCAAAATGACAACTCAGCCAGGAAGACTTTACTGTCCTAACTACTAAGGGATTGGGAAAAAGGGGGAAAAAAGTTGATGGAGTTCAAAATGATATCAGATAATAAAAATAGAGTCAAACTGAGTTTTTAAAATTGATAATAGGTTTTACTCAGTGATAAGAAAAATAAAAATATTAGGTTAAGATATTAAATTTTCTTTCAAACTCTCAGTGATATATATCAAATGTTGCTATGGTTATTATCTACTGTGAGATATGTAAAGCTTGGATCTCATCTATCTTGATTCCTGGTGCATCTCCAGAGCCTTGCAAATAGTAGCTACTCAGTAAATAGCTATTAAATGAATGAATAAAAATTAAACACTCATGACTTATTAGCCTTCTGGAAATATTGTAAAATATTTAACAAAGTAAATCTAAATCATTAGGTTCAATATTAATAAGAAAAAACTTCAAGGGTGGAGGAGTACATTCTAGTATCTGCTTTATACTTGACAAAAAGAGCATTGACTATTCCTTGGTCTCAAATTAAGCACTCTGAAAAATCTACCCATGTTCAGTTGTCCTCTGTTGAAAGGTCATAGCCTGGACTGTCTACACCAGGTAATTATTGGTATGTTTTTACTAGTAACTTCCTAAAAGAATGGTTTAATTCTTCACTTTTCTCTGTCAGTTTAGATGCAATCTAAGGCAAATTAAATCATACTATATAAACTGATGATGGTCTTTAGTCTAAAGTGACTTTTTAAAAATATTCCTGAATTAATACACATTGAAAAATGATTTACTTATGATTTATTTTAAAAACACTACTCAGATGATTTATTTTAAAGATATTCTGAAATTGAGCCATATTGGTTTCTATTTTATTTTATCAAGATAACTGCTTATTCACCACTTCAATTTATATCTAAGTCTTTAGTGATTTATTTAGGATATTTGCATCTAGCTCAATTGATGGCGTTAATATTAAATAAAAGCTGTGAACTTGATATCAAATAATCTAAGTACATAGGTCTTCTTACACATTAAAGACACAAATTATATGTAATTACATCCTCAAGAATCCAGAAATAGAGACCCACTCCCCTACTGATCTATTATTCTGTATTCCACAGTATTGGGTTATAAACATACCAAATATATATGTGGTATAGACTGGGTATATTGTATTAAATATCAATTCAGTGACTATTGTGCAAATTAGAAGTTACAATTATAACTATTGATGTTTCCAATTCCAAATTATTTGTAAAAGAATTGATCATCAAAAGTATCAAATTAGCAGGACAAAGTGGTGTAAGCCTGTAAGCCCAGCAATTCGGGAGGCTGAGACAGAAGGATCACAAGTTCCAGTCCAGACTGAGCAATTTAGCAAGATCCTAAAAAGGGATGGGCCTGGGGACTAGGGTGGTGGCTCAGTGGTAGAGCGCCTGCCTAGCATGTGCGAGGCACAGGGTTCTATTCTCAGAACTGCATATAAATAAATAAAATAAAGGTCCACTGACAACTAAAAAATATTAAAAACAAAAACAAAAAAACAACGGAATGGGGATGTAGCTCAGTGGCAGAGGGCCCTGGGTTCAATCTTCAGGTACAGTGCACAATACTCATGCAAATACACATACAAAAGTATCAAATTAGAGACCCACTTGTGACTTTCAGTAAATTTTACGAAGTTGGTTAAGATGATACACACTGCAGTTGTTGTTTAGAGACAGTATACATCATGATTTTTTTAGACTAATGAATTATCACTAAATCACAATGTTTTTGTTATGGTGGCAGACAGATAAAGAATTGTTGGGAAAAAAAAAGATGTGAAAAAAATTAAGTCTGTCTTGCTAAACCTTATTCCAAAACTCCAATACTAGCTAGTTATAAATCTTCCTCAGTACTTATGTTAGAGACACCATCCTGGGTAAAAAGCAAAAAATACATACATGGTCAGGTTATTCTCACCTAACTGCACAGCAGAGCTCATCCTAGGACAAAAGTTATTTAAGTATTCAAAAGAAGAATCACGACCTTGAGTCAACCATTGTGGTTATGGGATGATAGATGTCTAAGATAAGAGCTGGAAGAGTATGGGCCAAAATTCCTCTAAAAAAGGCTGAATGTCCGAAACCAAGGAGACACTGGAAGTTTTGGAGGCTGCCAAGTGATAGAGCTGCATCAATCAGCTTGCTGCATGTCAGAGAACAGCTTGACTTTGTCCTGACATGTTTTTAAGTCAGTTCTTTGCTCACATTTGTGCAAGCCTGGATGGTCCATTTCTCTTGCCTACAGGCTAGTCCAAGGAACTAAACCATTTTGTTTCTCTCCTTTGTGCCTTGGGAAAGCCTACTGCTTTAGTCCTCAGGCACCTGCCACTCCTTGACCCATCAAAATATGCTCTTCAGGGCTGGGGTTGTGGCTCAGTCATAGAGCCTAGCATGTGTGAGGCACTGGGTTCAGTTCTCAGCAGTATATAAATAAATGAATAAAATAAAGGTCCATCAACATCCAAAAAAATGTTTAAAAAAAATATG